TCCCAGTCATCCTAATTATCCCATTCATCCTAGTGATACTAGACATACTTTTTGTTTTAGTCATCCCAGTCTTCCCAGTCATCCCAGTTATCCTAGTCATCCCATTCATCCTACTGTGTGGCACAAAATTTTTGTGGGAGTTAATTTCTGCGGATTGGCCATTTTTTGTGTTTTGTGGGAACTAATTTTTGCGATTAGGACAGACTGCTTTTTTAACTGGGAACTAACTTTTGCGATTTTCAGGAAGTACCCAGTACCCAGTATTGATAATATTTTTGTTTTTGTTAAGTACATATAATTGAAATACGTATTTTCAAACAGTACTACGGTAAGCATACCCTACGTAAAACCATTGCATACCGTTTTGAGGCAAGTTTAAATTGAACAGACATGATTTTTTACTTCTGCATTTTTGTGTAGCGAATTTAAGTTAGAGAATATTTACTCTGGAGTAAATTTTTGCGGGAAAAATGTTCGCGGTAATTTTTATTTTTAATTTTTATTTTGCGGATCGTTGGAAAAATCGCAAAAATTAGAACCCACAAAAAATTTTGCTCAACATGGTAGTCATCCTTGTCATCCTAGTCATCTTAGTCATCCTAGTCATCCCAGTCTTCCTAGTCATCCTAGTTATCCTGGTCATCCCACTCATCCTAGTCATTCCTATTGATCCTAGTTACCCTAGTTATTCTAGTCATCCTAATCATCCTTATGATCCTAGTCATACCAGTTATTATGGTAACCCTGGTTATCCTAGTAATCCTAGTCACCCCATTCATCCTAGTTATCCTAGTCACCCCATTCATCCTAGTAATTTTAATCATCTAAGTCATTCTAGTCATTTCATTCAACCCAGTCATCCTAATCATCCTAGTCATCCCAGTCATTCTAGTCATCTCAATCATCCTAGTCATCGTAGTCATCCCAGTCATATTAGTCACCCTAACCATTCTAGTCATGCAGAGCTCTCAAAAATTTTTTAAGTAGCAGGCTGATAATTAACTGTAGGCGGCTTTTGGAACTCACAGTAAAGGCGCAAGTTTTTGAGGGCCAAGGTATCTAGGGACATTATGAAATTTAGAGTTTCGGAAATGCCATTTCCAGGGTTTTCAAGGGGTATTTTCCACTGCAGATGCCATGTTGTTCAAGAATACATGCAAGACTGGGAACAATGCCGTCGAAATTTCCCAGGCGCATCTCACGGGTCAAATGTTTTACAGTTCTACGCCTGTTTAAATATGTCATTGTCATTGCCAATGTCATTTAAAACTCGGAAACGGATGCTTTACAATAATTATTGTATTCAGTGGTGCTTATTTTTTGTTGGCAGTTATGGTAGAAGGGGATGAAAGTGGCCGGCTAAGGATGGCTAACTAGCTGGGGCTTTTGGTCAGCTACCGGCCCTTATTAACAGCTCTGGTCAACCAAGTCATCCTAGTCATCCCAGTAATCCTAGTAATCCCAGTCATCCCAGTAGTCCCAGTCATCCTAGTAATGCCAGTCATCCTGGTCATCCTAGTCATGCATCTGTAAAGGTAGCTATGCCCCCGAAACAATTACAACAAGCCTCAAGAAATTATTACAATGTTTGAAGAACAACTGTTAGGAAGGATGTAAAACTTACATTCTGGTCCTGTATTCTTTTCATGTATTGTTACAACTGTCAGCAGCTAATCAGCATTGAATCTGTTGATCCATTACACTTGAGACTGCAACAAAACAAAACATCAAAAGAGATGAAAATCAAGAAGTCACAGCCATGTGTAAATTGCAAAGGACTAAAAAGGAAGGGGGTAGCGAGGAATAGAATAAGGGAACAGACAGGTCAGCTGCAGTCCTAGATTTCACAGCAACATGAAAGAGGAGGAACAAGGACGAAGGAGAGAGGAAAGGGAGGCATTAGGGGGAAAATATTGGTGATAAGAAAAAAAGAAAGGTAGACTGCAAGTGACTTTGCTGCTCAAATACTCCTGCTTACAGATTCTCGAGCAAAAGAGAGACTGCTCGCAGTCTAGAGGAAAAGCAGCAAGAGGTAAAAGGTAGAGGAGAGATAGAAAGGGTACAGACAGTGCAAAGTTGACATAAGTAAGGCGGCATTGATTAGTGGGAACATAAAAATGAAATAGGGAAAGGGCAAAAAGGTGGTACAGGTAAGACCAAAGAAAAATAGAACAAAAAGGGAAAATTAATACTGTAGGTGGTGAATGGAATCACAATAAAAACAAAATAGAGAAGGGAAACAAGATGAGAAAGAAAGGGGGGAGTACTATTCAAAGGAAAAATGGAAACAACAATCATAGCCAAGAAGGGGAAGCGGGGGATGTGGAGTGGTATAGGGAAAGCAAAATTTGTGTCATAGGTACAAGCTGTTGAATAAAAATAACCGCTACAAAAAAGTGGACGGGGAACAATGTGAGTTGCACACAGAGAGATAAAAATTGGAGAAGCACAGGCAAGATGAATAATGGAAACAAAGACACATAGAGAAGGAAAGTAGAACTGTTCATATAAATTACTCACTTTTTTGCCTTCTCAGGCATTGGAGTACACTGCCACTGAAGTACAGTAAATTTGAAATAATAATGGCAATA